GCACCACTGGAAGAAAAAATGATAAAAAAAATGATAAAAAATGAAAAATAAAATGATAAAAAAATGATTAAAAAAATGATAAAAAAATGAAAAATAAAATGATTTAAAAAAAATGAATGAAAACATAAATGAAAAAAAAAATGATAAATAAAATGATAACCAAAACGATAAAAAAATGAAAAAAAAAATATTTTGACCTGGCCCAGTCTGTGGCTGCAAGTTTTTCATAAGTTTAACGGTTTGAATAAAGGTCTGAAGGCTGGCAAACGGCACTCGTGAACCGCCAACGGCAGAATGTGTAGTGCCGCTGCGAACAGTACGCGTCTGAAGGCCGGCAAACGGCGTAACGCCCCAACAATAGAGTGTGTAAGGCCGCTGCGGAGGGTTGACGCGTTTGAAGGCTGGCAACGGGAGTTTTGAGTAGAAGCTTCAGCAAAACACTGTGTAGGGCTGCTGCGGAGCGTTTAGGGGTTTGAAGGCTGGCACTCTTGCAGCCCCAACAAGACAGTGTGTAAGGGGTTGGGAGTTGGGAGGCTCGCAAATGGTAGCCTTGAAGCGTCAACAAGACAGTGTGTAGGGCGGCTGCAGAGCGTTTAGGGGTTTGAAGTCTTGAGCCTTCAACAAGACAGTGTGTAGCGTCACTGCGGAGGGTTGAGCCGTTTGAACAAGACAGTGCTGTGTAGGGCCGCTGCGGAGGGTTGAGCCGATTGAAGGCCGGCAAACAGCCCCTGAAAGCCTCGACAAGACAGTCTGTAGGGCCGCTGCGAAAGTTAAACGGTGCGAAAAAACGTTTGGGGGGTTGAGGCTGGCAAACGGCACTCTTGAACCCCGACCAACAGAATGTGTAGGGCCGAAAGGCAAGTGGTCAGTGCACCGCAGCCTCATCGTTGATGCCATAGAACGGGCGCAGAAGCATTGGAACACGCTTCCGTGTGAATCCTGTCCGTTACCAAACCCATGCCAAGGCTTGGACAGCAAGAGCCTCCTAAAAAGTGTGCGATGCAAGGCGCGCCCGGTCAGCTGTGAGAAAGACAGTTGCGTGCGGGAGCCCGAGGTGCAGCAAGAAATTGTCAATATAACAGCACTTAAAAACCATGTGGAAGAATGGGCCGGGGGCGTCGCGCAAGATGGATGCAATGCCAAACAAGCAGAAGTTTGTAGAAAAGTTGCAAGCCAAGTCGTGCAGGAGATCTTGTCTGAAAACCTTGGGGTGCTAGAGCCATTGCGGTGGGCTGTGCATGGCGGACCCGGTACAGGGAAATCGTATGTATTGAATCGTCTCCGGAAAGAATTGTTTGAGGATATTTTGGGCTGGAAGCAAGGTGATGAATTCCAAGTCGTGACACTGCAGGCTGTTATGGCCCATGACTTGAAGGGCGACACTATCCACCACGCGTTTGGTTTGAACTGGCAAGGCCTTGGCGATGAGCGCATTAGCGGGCACAAGCTCCTGGAGCTGAGCGCCAAAGCGTTGCGCTGGCGATGGCTCATCATTGATGAAATCAGCATGGTTAGCGCTGAGCTGTTGGCCCGGTTAGAGTTGCGTTGCCGAGAGTTGGTCCGGGATCTCGCCGAAGGCAAGTATGCAAAGGATGCGGCATATGCTCGTCCCTTTGCAGGGTTAAACGTTATTCTGGCAGGTGATATGTGGCAGCTGCCACCGCCACGTGGAACCTTTTTGGGAGATGTCCCATGGGAATGGTTGACGCAATGCAAAACGAAGAAAGTAGCCCATACCATCCGGGGGCAGGAATTAGTCTGGGGCGAAACCCCGGACGGAATCCATGGCGTGACAGAACTGGTCGAGTGCGAGCGTACCCAAGATATATGGTTGCAGAGTCTACAAAACGAAGTACGAAACGGCGCGTTGTCCGATACGAACCACGCATTTTTGCATGGCTGTCCTACGCCGGTACCTGGGAGCTGGAACGGGCACAGACTAGAGTGCAACCACACCACGTGCCAGGAGTTACTGAGACAAAAAGCAGCGCCAGAAGCAATCCTTAGTTTGGAATGTGACATATGCAAAAAGGAGCGCCAGTCCAAGGCTAGAGTTACAGACGGTTCCCTCGCGGCCGCTGCGAAGTTCGCTGGGGCAAAGGCTATTTTCGCCACAAATGCCGTGAAGTATCACGTGAATAAACTGCGAGCCAAAGTTTGGGCCTGGGCCGCAGAAACAGGGCAGGTGCTGCACCATGCCATTGCAAAAGACAGGATATCAAGCGCGGCTTTGCGCGAAAAGCCAGATCTGGGCAAAGAAAAATTGACATGGCTGCAGCGCCACGATCAGGACTGTGGATCCTTGTATGGTGTTTTCCCGCTGTGCATTGGTATGCCAGTTGCTGCCGCAGATCACTTGGATCGTACCCGTGGAATTTTACGTGGGTGTGCTGGGGAAATCGTTGGCTGGGTCTGGCATGCGGATGCCGTCGGAGGGGCGAGTCAAGAGGCGACGCAGATTTGGAACGAGTTGCCGGCGTGCATCTTGGTCCGGTTCAAGACCAAGACCACCTGGCGTGTCGAAGGGATTGATGAAGACAACGTTTTTCCCGTAGCGCCGCAAAAGAAACCGTGGTATCTGGACAAGGGGCGGAAGCGGCCAGTACTCCGTGTCACGCGGAAGCAGTTTCCATTGGCTCCAGGGTTTGCCGCAACCGCCCACGCAGCCCAAGGGCAAACGTGCAAAGAAGGCGTTGTCATGGACATGCACATTGGGGAAGCAGGCGACCCATTGACAGCTTACATTGCATTAACGCGAGTCCAAGACAGGTATGGTTTGTCTTACTTCCACTTAGCGGCATTACGGTATTACAAAAAAAATTTGCCCTTACACGAGAAAGTTACTTACACGAGACAGTTACTGAAACGAGAAATAAAAATAAAAAAGTGGAGTAGGCAGCTTCTTTTAAAAAAGTGTTTGTAAAAGGAATGAAGGAGAAGGAAGCATATAACAGTAACCAAAAGGATTGCTAATGTCTCCATGGGTGAAATATCGGATTGTGTGCGCTCAAATTTTAATGCATGTGTGTGCTTTCAGTGACAATGTCATGTCTTCCAACGACAAGAAAATAGCTTCAATCATCGGTCCACGCATTTTTCCTCTTGGACAAACGAGGAATCCAAATATCTACAGCAAGTTTGGTTTGTGCAAGCCACAAACAGGTGAATTAAAGATTGGTTCCCATAGATTTTGAAATCATTTGAATTAGACTCGAATAGGCCGAAGCAGCCATGTGCTGAAGCAGCCATAGCTTGGCCGAAGCAGCCATAGCTTGGCCGATGCAGCCAACATGCTACTTCTCATCGCATTGTTTTTCTTTTTCATTCATCCACTTAACCCCTTTCTTCTCACAATTTCGATCCGGATAGTGGAAGCAAGCTTGCTTGCCGATGGCCATGTGCTGGTTTGAAGCAGCCTGTACTTCTGGTACAGCTTTTCTACATGGAACCTTTTGAGAAGATCCCTTTGGATGACTTTGGCATCAGGCTTAGTGACTACACTGGGATTGCCACGTCGTCGTGGAAGTTTGGGCGGCGGCATCATTGTCATTGGCATGGAAACGGTCATTTGTAGTTTAAGCCTAGAGCCTAAATGTGCGAGAAACCGCATGTTTCAGAACACGTACAGCAAACATGAGACAAACCAACTGACAACAGGACATGACATCCCCCTAAGTTAAGAGAGTCGACATACATACTTTTTACCTTTCAACCATGTCATGTTTGTGGGAAATTCAAAGCAGCTTTTTTTTCCCGCATGGAAGGCACAATCAAAACTGCCTATGTGTCCGAAGTGCGACATAGAGGTCACCTATGGCCGAGGCAGCCACACGGCCGATGCAGCCGTGGTATATGGCCGATGCAGCCACGTCGTCTCGTCTATGGCCGAGGCAGCCCCATCACTTGTCTCCATTAGTCCTCTTCATTGTCATCGTCGTCGTCTCCCAAAGGATCCCAGACGTCGTCGTCTTCCTCGTCATTGTCGTCCTTTTCCTCTTCGCCTTCCTCCTGCTCATCCTTTGATTGCTTGGCTTTGGATTTTGCTTTAGCCTTTGGTTTGGCCTTTCCCTTGCCTTTGGCCTTTGCCTTTACCTTTGCCTTCGGTTTTGCGGTCTGATTCACAGGTGCCTTACCACTGCCACCGCCGACGGCTTCACTGTAAGCTGACGAAAACAAGCTGGACTCAGGGTTTGTCATTTCCTTTTCAAGCAAAGCAAGCAGCCGGTCTTCAAGAAGGCGTTGGTGCTCCGGGTTGAAGGCAACTCCGACATACCCTACCCGATTTCGCAAGGCAGCCCAAGCCATGCGGCCGTCCAGAGGTGTCAGATCGATAATGATCTTCGCGAAAAAGTCGTGGATCAACTCGTCGCAGAGCTCATAGGGTGGACTGTGAAAGCAAACTGGCTCCAAGCCATTGCTGGATCTGCTGTTCTGCTTCTCTTCCTCCTTGTTTTGTGTCTTACCTCCGACAGCTATCATGTGTTTTTTCCCCAAAAGCTCCTTTTTTTCTTTCCAAGGCAGCTGCCACTCAGAAGACCAAGCAGGCATGTGCACGTTGGAAATCAAGTCGCCAGTGGTTGAACCTGCGTAGTGCTTTCTGTCACGGCTTGGCAGGGACAACCTTTTGGATGACAAAATGTGTGTGTAAAAGCGTCTGTGTGTAAAAATATTTGTGTGTAAAAGTGTTGGTGTGTAAAAGTGTCTGTGTGTAAAAGCGTCTGTGTGTAAACGTGTTTGTGTGTAAAAGTCTCTGTGTGTATTTGCGTCTGTGTGTAAAAGCGTCTGTGTGTAAAAGCTCTGTGTGTAAAAGCTTCCGTGTGTAAAAGCCTCTGTGTGTATAATAAAAGCGTCTGTCTGTAAACAGTTCTGTGTGTAAAAGCGTCTGTCTGCAACTTTACGAAAGATACGATGCAAACTATTGTCTTGTACTTGTAATATATTGTTTTGAAACTACTCTTCTCGTCTGCCTATAATACATCTTCAATATATTGTCTTGTAATTTAGTGTCTCCATACTAGCAACAGAAGACTTTGCTCGTCTACGCTCTCGGGCCATCCGTCGTCTAGTTTTCCTGCATCGAAAATCAATGCAACTTCCCCTGCCTGAAGGTTGGGGTTGGGAGTGCCCATTGCGTCTTGCCGCGCAGCAAGAACGCTCTTGACAAGCCGGGTGTAGAGGTTTTCACGAAAGGTTGGGGTTCTCAAGTCTGGCCGTGTGGTGGGCTCGCCATATTTTTTCAAATCAAAGTGGAAGAGGGCCATTCCTGTTTGATCTCCGCGCAAGGACATGAAAGGTGTTTCTTTCAAGACACTTTCCAATTCCACATTGGTGCGGTGATCGGCGACAAATCGCACATGCTGGTTGAGGATCTTGCGCATGTGCTGTCTCCACATGACCTTGTCTGCCTCACTAAGACCATTGTCTTCCACTTCTTCAGAAGCCGGAGCAGCTTCAGAGGCCGCAGCAGCCTCAGAGGCCGAAGCAGCCTCCAGTTCTGTTTCCTGTCTTTCCTCTTCCGTTCTTGCTTTCTGCTCTTCATCGCCATTGAGTCCCTCGGGCTTGTCCTCTTGGCGAGTCATTTTTTCAATGGTTTCCATGGTGGTCTTTAGAGTTGTGTAATTCAAGAAATCTTCCACCTCGTGTTTGCTCTTGATTGCATCCTTGTATCTTGCGTCATAGTGGGATCCAAAGACAAGTTGATCCAGGAACTCGCAAATTTCAGAAACACTTGGCGGGCAACCCAGCAACCAGGCCGTATCAGCCTGCGTATCAGGGTATGGCGAAATATGCTTTCGCAACATCTCATAGGAGCCGCAGTAGCTCTTGATGTTGTCTTTCCATTTTTTCTCCAGCTTCAAGTCATTCAGCCATGTGTTCAGTAAATGCAACAAAGTTTTGCGCTTCATTTTGAGGACTTCAATGTAGCTGGCCCTTGAATCTTTCAGCTTGCTAATAACAAAGTGTCCACCATCTAGAAAAGACATGCGGACGCCATCCACCATCCCTTCCAGGGACCAGGCAATCATCTCAGGCGTGCCTCCTCTGTCAAGCAATGCTTGCAAGGCGTAAATTGATTTCCAAGCAGACGAAGTGAGCCAGTTTTGGTCACACCATTCCAAAACTGCTTGACACCTGGGGATGCTGAGAAGTCGGCGATGGATGGACAAAGCACAATCGACAAAGCTTTCCGAAATTTTCTCTTGATTCGACGCAAGTTTGAGATGCTGTGTGTACAGAGCTGCCAGCTTTTTGGCACCCAGGCTTGACTCAGTTTTTTTTTTGGCTTCGTAGAAGCCTGCAATATCAAATATACGCTGGCGCAATGACAACTGAACCGACAAACCCTTTTCAACCATCTCTTCACGAATGTTTTGTGCACGCCAGTAGCGGTCTTCACCAACAGGACAGATTTCGAACACAAAGGTCGCAGTGAGGATGCAACTTCTGAAAGCGCGCAATACTCCAACTTTTGCTTTGCTTTCAATGGCTTCAGCCAGTGCAAACAGCAAGGCGTGTACCGGCTCTGGAGGACTGAGACGTTGGAAACCGTTTTGTGGACGTTGGCCGATGCAGCCAGGGGTTTCCAAAGCGACTGTGATGACAAAGGGGCACAATGACGGCGGTTCATTTTTGGGAAACCAATAGTCTTTGATTTGCTGCACCTGCGCTTCGTTCATAGGCACTTTGTGCGTGGCCATGAAAAGGAAGTCTTGATGGAAAAAATTGGCGGCACACTTATAGACGCCAGCGTTTTTCAAGGCCGAAGCAGCCTGAGTAGCGTCGAGTGCTGCCTCTCTGCCGCCATCTTTGACAGACAAAGGGTCTGCTGTCAATATGTCTTTGAATAATTCGTGTGAGAAAATTCGGGCCAAAGCATCATGCACCTTAATCCAATGAGCCTTGGAGGGACCAAGGTCTGGCTCGCTTTGATCTTCGTCTTCGCAAGGTGCAGGCAAAGCCTTTGTCGTCTTTTGTTTCTTTTTTGGCGGCATGTTTCTGACAAACTTGAGCAGCTAATAGGCACTGGCCGAATCAGCCAGGCACCCCGCCCCAGACTTAAATTTACAGGGAATGAGCTACGAAACAGCTGCGGATTTTAATTGTCTGTCAATACCCAAACTGTTTGACTTGATTCAATACTCTTAGACGGTCCCTTTTACTTGCTGTTTTAAGTTTTAAACTTGAGACTTTAAATTAGCGTTTAAAACTTCCTACGTCTTTAGTCGTCTACTTCCCCATTTCATATCACTATATTTATTTTTAATAATTTAACTCCCCGGATTGGACCAAGACACCTGATGTCCCTGCTTGCTTTTTTCCCCTTTCCACTGTCGCGTTCCGTCGTCATTGACCTGGCCGAAGCAGCCAGTGTCGCACGGCCGTCTTAGCCATGCTGCCGTCTGGCCGAAACAGCCAGTGGTGCTACCGTCTGGCCGAAACAGCCAGTGAAGATTCACCCTGGCCGAAGCAGCCAGTGAAGGCCAGTCAGCACATGGCCGATTCAGCCATGGTGCTGTGGGCAACTCGACTGCGTGCAGCACCTCCTGCAGCACCTGGCAGGGCAATATGCGCCCGGCTGATTCTTCCCACATCGGCAACATGCTATTGCCGGGGTCATCCGCTGTGCCGTCTGCCCTCCAGTAGCACGGTGCTGCTCGGCACGCTTCATCTTTGCCTGCGTCCAGCTCGAATCCGGACGTCGGCCCCCCCAAGGCGGCGGCCCGGCCGATGCAGCCGGTGCCGCCGGCTGGCTGCCTTGCGCGGCCGAAGCAGCCGCCGCGGCCTGGTAGTACGGGTAGTACCACCCAGCCTGTTGCTGCCACTGCAGCTGCTTCACCTGATTTTGCAAGTCTTTGATCTTGGCATCAGTGGAAGTGCTTCGCCGCCTGCTGCCGGATTTTTTGGAGGAACTTCGTCGAAGTTTTTTGGCCTCGCTTTCTGTGTCCTCCTCCTGGTCCTCCTCTGAACTGCTTTCCTGTTCATTGTCATTGTCGTCGTTGTCGTCGTCGGCCTGGTCGCCGCCGTAGTCCGGCTCTTCTTTGATTGTGGATTGCTTTGGCGGTCTCGTCGACGGCGGCGGCGATTCCTTCTTGACTGGTTTTTTTGCAGCAGACTTGCGGTACAAAAAGACGACGTTGTCTGGAGGCGGCGGACGCTCGTCATCGTCGTCATTGTCGCCGGCGGGCGCTGCAGAACCTTTTGGGACCCAGTTGCTCGACGACAAGGCCGATGCAGCCTCAACCTTTCTTTTGTTTGCCGTTGAAGTTGGTAGCCAGGCTCGGGCGTCGTCCATGGCCTTCAAGCGTTGCAGGAGGTCGTCTCGCACTGCTTCGTCATGAGGTTTGTTTGGAGGGCCTTCGTCCATGAGCCAGTCCCAAACCGTACCATTCGGGTAGACCTCCAGCAAGACGGCAAGGTCTCTGAAGTCGCTGATGCAGTGCACCTTTTTCTCGTTTCGTGGATCGGCGCCCCCGAACAGGACAGCTGTCTGCAGGCTTTTTGAGCTTCCGTTCATCATGCTCTGCAAGCAATCCAGCCTGTCGTCGACGACCACGGTGCCATTGGAGCGGCGCGCGTAGTATCCTTTGTTGCTGTTCTGATCCGTCAAGAAGACCTGGTCCGAGGACAACCCAAGAGACATCGCGTGTCTCACCACCCAATGCTTCTCTTTGTGTGGGAACCATTTCACCTTCGAAATGATTCTCACAGCATCTTCGCCATAGCAAGCCTGCCACAAAAGCAGGAAAGCCCATGCTCCTGGCATCGTCGCCTTGTAGATTTCCTCGCCGTCGTACTTGACATCTCCATAACGGGTTAAGACGCCACCACAGTCGATACACAACATGGGCGCCCACCCTGAGTCCATGGGGCTTGGCATGTCAGCACTCCAGGCCGAAACAGCCTGTGAGTGCAGGCAAGGTTTAAGCCGAAACAGCTTATTACCTTTCAAACTTACACGCTAAGCCTCTGAGCCGAAAACAAACGACGAGAGACGACATGACGGCTTCTAAGGAGAGGGCCCTTAGAACCCGCGCTGACAGCAGCGACGTGTGTAAGGAGACAGGGCTGTGAGAGGACTAATGTGGAATTTATATTTATGTCTTATTAGTCCTCTCACAGCCTTCTCTTACACACCTCACTGACGACGAAGGCGAAGTGGCCGAAGCAGCCAGGGTGGCCGAAACAGCCAAGCTCAACATGACGACCTGTGAAGACGACGACCTCTCCTTACACAGCAGGATTTTGGTAAAACATGCTGTGTAAGGAGAGGTCATTTCGTCCTCTCCTTACACAGCTAGGGGACGTCCCCGATGCTCGGTTGGAGAGGACAAACAGAGGACAACAGCTTTTAAAACCGAAACACTTAGTAGTATTACACATTCGTCCTCTATTCGTCCTCTCCTTACACAGCTAGGGGACGTCCCCGACCTGCGGTTGGAGAGGGCAAATCGCCCTCTCCTTAGGATAGGGTTTTTGATAATTAACCCTTAGGAGGTTAGGGGACGTCCCCGAATTAGAGTCTTAGGAGGTTAGGGGATGTCCCCGAATTACCCCTTAGGAGGTTCGGGGACGTCCCCGAATTAGAGTCTTAGGAGGTTAGGGGATGTCCCCGAATTACCCCTTAGGAGGTTAGGGGACGTCCCCGAATTAGAGTCTTAGGAGGTTAGGGGATGTCCCCGAATGAGGGCCCGAGTCTCCTTAAGAGTTATTTAAATTCCTTATTATGTCAAAATCCCTTATATGACCAAAAAAAATATACCCATTTGAATAGCTAGTATTAAATTTAAATCATGTTACATACAATAATTATAATATTACCCCTTTAGGATTTAATACTCTTTGGGGTTTCATAACCTGGTCCCAAGAAGGCCACGGTCAGCAGCCACTATTTTCCAAGAGACCGTCTGTCTTGTCGAAAGCCTTGCTGGCCGAAGCAGCCAAGCTTCTGTGGCAGAAGCAGCCACTACAAAAAATAGTTTAAGGCAGGCCGAAGCAGCCTGGCGACAAGCAGCCCGAAGCAGGCGACGAGCAGGCCGAAGCAGCCTGACGACGCCCTTAACTAAGCCTCGGCCGCATCAGCTTGGGTGAGTTGAAATACCCAGGTGGCTCCTGAGAAGTGTCCAATCTTCAATTCATTGTTTACTTCTGATCTCTGGACTGCCTTGTTGAAGGACTCCCACAGGTTCTCACGAAACGTAGACCATCTGAAGCCACAATAATTCAGCGGGCAAGCGTCGAGATAGCTGATGAAGAGCGTGGCCACATAGAAGTCGCGCTTGGTTGCATGGGTCAGGGGCAACTTGGTTTCTTCCACCGCATCTGGCAAACCAGCGACAATTCGGCTGTCTGGGAAGCTGTCGGGATCTGTGTAACGCAAAGTCGTCAGCATGTCCAGTGCAATCACAATCTGCCATTCAAATTCAGATCTGATGTCTGGGGCCAGGTGGCAGTAGCACCAAAAAATGGCATTGCGAGTGCATTCGTACACGTCTTCCATCTCTGCGAGACCGAAGAAATCTGCTGGCTTCTCTTTGACAAAAAGCTGTGTCACATAGACATACTGACAGAAGTTTGCCTCGTCAGTCTCCGCTTCTGAGCGCAGCAGAGGCATCACGGAAAAAGGAAGAGAGGCGACGACAACACGGTTTGAGCCAAAACTTGAGACCATTGTCAAATGACAAGTTGAGACAGGTTGGAACTTGAATGGCACATGCCAGCAGTCTTGAAGCGAGAGAGTGACTACGAAACACATAGAAACAGCTAGCTGCGATCTTTTGACTTGACAAATCCCGCGTCAAGGCTGTCTGATTGTAGGTTAATTACAAATCGGCCACACAAGCCGCGACAAAAGCTTCAGATTGGCCGCAGCAGCCAAGGTCAGACTGGAAAAGGTGCCAGCTTGGAAATCAAGCCAGCTGCGTACAAGGCATTTTGGAGCACACAGCCAACCAAAGGAATCGGCACGCAATTGCCGAGCATTCCTTGCAACTGAGTCTTGCTTACATGTTGGTTCCAATCTGGCATCTCAGAAGACTGGAACCCAGACACCTTCAACATCTCATTTGTAGTCATATACCTTCCACGACTACTGATCCAGAAGCCGCCTGTCTTGGCGCGAGCTTGGCTCAAAGTGCGGCTGACATCAATGCCAAAGGTGGCATATTTTTGGCTGCAGCCGACGTCTATGGCAACAGGAACCTGTCGTGGGTCAATGCCCTCCTTGTTAACTTTTCGGCAGGCAGCCAAAGCCAAAGCCTTGGCTCTTTGATTTTTCGGCAACCGACCAGGCCGATCTGCAGCCTGCATCGGGTCCAAGGCCTCTGACAGCCTTCGCTTACCGAGTTTTTTGGGCCACTTGAAAGGTCTCCTGCAGGAGTCTTTGCGGATCGCGACAATGAAGAGCCTTTGTCTCTTTTGCGGGATTTGGAAATCCACAGCGTTTAAGACTCCAAGCCAGACCCTGTAGTCCAGCTTCTCTAACGTGGCTCGGATGCCGCGGAGTACCGGTTTGTTTTTCCGGTGGCAGAGACCCTTCACATTCTCCATCAGAAAGACCCTTGGTTTGTGCCGCTTTGTATACCTCAAAGGCACTTTCAGCAACCTCCCCCGGGGATCTTGGAGACCTTTCCTTTTTCCCTGTGAACTCCATGGCTGGCATGGCGGGGTACTAATGTATACGTCCACAGGGATCTCATCCTCTGGCTTTCGTTGTTCGGCATCGTCGAAAAAACATTTTGGCTTGTGAGCAGCTTCCAGTAGTTTTCTGCAGTGTGGGTCTGTGTCGCTGCAAAATGAAACTTCCACCGGCAGCTGCAACCGCTTCAAAGCGAAAATGCCTGTGTCCAAGCCAGAGAAATCACTCCCCACACGAACCAATCGGGGAACGCGAAGCTGGACAGGCATGGCTGGAAGCAGCCAGCCAGGCAGGCCGCAGCAGCAGGCCGAAGCAGCCACCCCTGAATGCGAAACAGCTTGATTTGGGCGAAGCAGCCAGGCGGACCGAAGCAGGCAGGAGGTCTGAAGCAGTCAAGGCAGCTGGCCGAAACAGCCAGGATGACCGAAACAGCCACTAAGTATATGACTTGAGCCGACAAAACCTGGCAGACATGTTGCAACACATCAATGCGAAAACGAACAGTAAAACCCACAAAAGATTGAAACAATTATAAATTGTATGCCATCGTTTATTTCATTGCTGGGGGGTTCGGGTTTACAAGTTAGATTTAAAGAGAACCAGTTGAAGACCAACAACACACAGGTGATCCTCCCTTTTTTCTTTGCGCAAGCATGCGTCGTCATTTCATAAGCCCGGAGCACGACTCTACCATGTCTGCGCGACGAATGCGATGCAAGAAAGTCTGGATGGTGAAAATTTGCTTGTCCCCTTCACTGACCGCATCTGTTTCATCCTCATGAATGACTGCGTATGCTTTGTATTTCGGAAAGGTCCTTTGCTTCGCCTGCAGCTGTGCCACTGTGCCGGCATTCATTTTGTGAAGTTGCCAACCATGCCCACCAGGAAGCGCTTGCCGAAAATCTTTCCAAAAGGCATCATGCTTTTCTGCACATATTTTGCTTACAAGAACAACTTTACGCACCGAAACAGCGCGATGAAATTTCAAAGCAGAACCGTTTCCAACAGTAAAAAAAGATGGGGAAACTTCCACCAAGCCTCGCAAACCTATCATCAGTTGTAGGGATGCTGGCAGTAAGCTTTCACCTGGCTTGTCGCAAACAATGACATGTGCTTGGGAGGCTTGCGCTGTCACTTGGATTCCATTGTTGGCTAAACTTGCAGTCAATTCCATATTGGCCGAAACAGCCAGGAAAGCTTTAGAGCCAGATAAATCGGCGAGCAAGGCATCCCTGTGTTTGTTGCTAACATGCCTTTCAATCCTACTTGCCTTCTCGCGTCTTTTCTTTTGATTCTCTGCAAATCTGGCCGAAGCAGCCTCTGCGTCTTGTTGATCTTGCAAAGTCGCGTCTGGTAAGGACTTCTCCGCAGTGGCCTGAATTCGCCTAATGCGGCTTTTCTTTTCCAAAAAAACCATTTCCTTCTGATGACCTTCAGTGAAGAATAGGGGGTCGGCTTGCTCCTGGGTTCCTGAATATGACTCTGCGGCCGCAGCAGCCGCGCAGCGACGTCTCCGAAGGAAGCTGCTCTCAGTCAAACCTGCGTCAACCTGTTTTCTTTTGATTCCTTTGTCAGCCCGACGACCAGTTTTGGAATGTTCCCGTGGACGGCCATACTGGTTTGCCCACGCAACACGGGCTAGCTTGCAAATTTCAACTTTTTCGTCTTTGTTTTGCTTGGGCAAACCATATATAAGTTTCAGGACCAATTCCTCATTGTTGGGTAAGGACCGACGCCGCTGCATTGTGTACCGGATTTGGCCCAAACTAAAATTTTGCTCAATTGCTGAAGTACTGGGCGTGCAGCAAAAATAATTTTGCAATGCGACAAGCAAAACGTCGCTGGGATGACTGCATGGTCTGGCTGAAGAGTATCTGGCCAAAGTAGCTCTCCAGGCTTCTTTGTTGCCATCGTGGACCATATCTTTGCTTTCTTTCAGTGAGCCAACCTGTTCTTTGTATTCCAGGGCACGGGGATACAGGTCTTCCCACTGTGCACGGAGCCTGGGCAAATCCAATTTGTATGTGTGGGAAATCGCTCTAAGATGTGCGTTCACCCCTTCTTGCGGAAGCCCCTTCAAATTGAATATTTCAAACGCTTGGCAAATTTCAAAATGAGGAAATTCTGCTTCTATGGCCGCAACAGCCAGTTTCACCCAAGCTTGCATTCGTCCGAGACATGTGTCGACAATTGCTCTGTTCACTCCGGTGCTAGAACCCAAAGTTTTCATTCTGTTCCCAATGTTAAAAACAATGGGCGACTTCAATTGGGTAAGAACAGTCGAGGTGAAGCCGAACACAGTCGCACAACGACCTTCAACAAAAAGACTGCGAATTTGTCGCATGTAGACTTGCAAGTCACCTTTCAGCTTTGCAGGATCAACATGCTCCGTATCCAAGGATCGAGTTAAAGCAAGACTTGTGTCGGCCGCATCAGCCAACATAGCTGCCTGCAGCAGATGTTCTTCTGAAATCCAAAGAAGCCAATCCTTCGCCTTTTTGGCAGAGACATCTGTTCGTGCTTTGGTTAAATGAAGGGCAGTTTTCACACAAGCATGGAAAAACAAGCAGGTTCTGCCAAGGGGACGTGCGTGGGATTCGAACCTGTGGCCCGCAGTCCGAAAGCATGAAATGGCAGTCTCAATCGTGGAGTCGCAAGCGCGACAGTGTTCACCAAATATGCGCTTGATTTCCATGGAGTCATTGATGAGCCTAGCCATTGACCTTGGCCCTCGGCCCATGTATTGCATCACTTCTTTCAGCTTTTCGTCCGCATTCCATGGTCTGCTTGTCAACCTTCTGCTGGCGTGCGCCCGGTCCCTGAAAACATGTTGCAAATTTGGCAGCATTGGCTGATTGTCTTCTGTATTCAAACTCAAGCGTGCTGACCTTAATATTTCACAGCTTGCCATTTCATCTGCTGCTGCATCAGCAGCGAGTGCCACAACTCTTGACCGCAGGTGTTTAAAAAGATTTTTCTTCAAACGCCCAGGATTCTGACTAAGAGGGGCCATATAAAATCTAGAGCAAGCACGCTTCATGACTGCCCATGTGGCTAAGGAGACATTGTCAGCTCCTGTTCCAGCTTGCCTTGCTTGGCCTAAAAAGCCACTTCGAGTTGTCAAGTCTGGGGCCACAGCCATGAATCGTATGGCCAACCGCCCATGCCGCTCATCCCGCATCAAAGAAATGCGAGAAGATTTCGCAATGAACTTTTGGTCCAAAGCTTTTAACCCCTCTGCCAAACACCATGCCATTTGCAGCTCTTTTTGCGACAATGATCTTTTGTCGCCAAAGCACTCCATCAGCTCTTGAAACTGACTCAATGACGGGGCTGCATCGGGACTGGGACCAACACAGCCTCCTTCCTTCAACCATTCCTTCACCGCTGCCTTGTGCGCCTTGCTTTTATGGTGCTTTATCAAATTGCAGTTCTGCAGTTGGCCCTTCTTGGTCATTGAATAAGAAGCGAAAGGGTTGGAAACCCCAGTTTCCTTGCACACTTTACAACCAACACCCCAAGGTTGCTGCTTCACATCTAACCATGACCCTAGCTCTGGCTGGCCATCTGAGATGAGGAACGTGTTACACCATTTTTTGCCCGAACTACGCCATCTGAATTTGGCCCCGGTTTCCAAGCTTGACATTGCCGCTGTGGCCGAAGCAGCCACTAAAATGGCCGAGCCAGCCAGTACTGCGGCCGAAACAGCCACAATGGAGCGGCGCATCTAACCATTGAGCCAAAAGAAAACGAGAAAAGAAAATATCCATGACACTTGTTAAAATATCTAGCAGGGCGTCTATACGAGAAATGTCCTTCTATGGACGTCGCCAGGCAGAGAACAGAAAAGCTGTCCCACAAGAAGTGTGTCAGAAGAAAAATGTGTTATATACCACAACTAAGGAAAATTGAGATGAGAATTCTACAAGAACGCATGTGGCATGGTTTTAAAAGCCATGAAGGTATTTGTAACAAAGTCTGAAGGTACAAAAGAACGAGTTCTGAAAATAACTTAATAAAAAAAAACAAAACGAGAAAATATCTCCAAAGCCCAATTTTTTTTTGTAATACCGTAATACGCTTAAGTGGATGCAAGAATAGCTTGGGGAAACTGCGCTGGGAAGGAGCGAGACCGGATGCTGGACGGGATGAAGCCGTGGAAATAGCTTGGGGAAACTTCGCTGTGGGAGGGAGCGAGACCGGATGCTGGACGGGATGAAGCCGTGGAAATAGCTTGGGGAAACTTCGCTGGGAGGGAGCGAGACAGCACGCTGGACGGAGAGGAAACCGTGCAAATATAGCTTGCGGAGAGCTTCGCTGGGAGGGAGCGAGACAGCATGCTGGACGGGACACAAAACAGTGGCAATAGCTTGCATTGAGCTTCGCTGGGAAGGAGCGCGACAGCATGCTGGACGGAGAGGAAATAACGTGCAAATAGCGTGTGGAGAGCTTCGCTGGCAGGGAGCGAGACATGCTGGACGGACAGGAAACGTTGGAAATAGCTTGCGGGGAGCTTTGCTGGGAGGAAGCGAGCCAGCATGCGGGACGGAGAGGGAACAGTGCAAATAGCTTGCGGAAAGCTTCGCCGGGAGGGAGCGAGACAGCATGCTGGACGGAGGGGAAACCGTGGAAATAGTTTGGGGAGAGCTTTGCTGGGAGGAAAGCGTGGAAATAGCTTGGGGAGATCTTCGGTGGGAGGGACCGAGACAGCACGGCTTTTGCACACAGAATCTTGTACACACAGACGCGTTCACACACAGGAGGTTTTATACAAACAGAAGATTTTACGGCGCACAGAACTTTTATATACATAGAGCAGCTTTTACGCAGCGAAGCTTGTACACACAGGACAAAGGGGAGCTTTTTTACACAGAAGCTTTTACATAGGGTTTTTTTAATACACAGAAGCTTTTACACACAGAAACCTTTACACACAGAAGCTTTACACACAGAAACTTTTACACACAGAAACTTGTACACACAGAAGCTTTTACACAAGCCTTTACACAATGGAGCTTTTACACACAGACAGGTTTACACAGAGGAGTCTTTACGCACGGAGGCGTTTACACAGGAAAGCTTTTTCACACAGAAGCGTTTACACAGAGTAGTTTTTACGCAGAGAAATCTTTACACAAAGAAATCTTGACACAGAGAAGCTTGCACACACACACAGAGGCTTTTACACAGAGAAGCCTTTTACACAGAGCAGCTTTTTCACCGAGGAGCTTTTACCCAGAGGAACTTTTACACAGAGAAGCTTGTACACTCAGAGGCTTTGACACAGAGAAGTCTTTTACACAGAGAAGCTTTTGCACACAGAAGTTTTACACAAACAAAATCTTAACACAGAGGAGCTTTTACATACAGAAGCATTTATGCAAAGAATCTTTTGTACAGAGAAGTCTTTACCCATTTTTCATCATGTCTCATTTTTCACTATCATTCACCACCTATCACCTTCATATCTTCGTTTTCATGCTCTTTTGGTCAGCTCCCTCCGTCGTTTAGTTTTCATTTTGCACGGTGTTCTGTCCGTCGACGCTTCGTCCTCGCTCCCTCTGCGGCGAAGCAAACTAAACGAGAACGCAGGAATTATAGCGGCTAAAAAGATGGGATAGAGTTAATTACATTAGCAGAAATAGCGACTAGAAGAATGTAGACGTAGCTGACACAGCATGCTGTGGTGAATTGCGGCCCCTGATACCATCAGCGCGCACGATGTTTCAGTAAAGATCTTACGTCGATTTCGTGCAGAGCACACACCACAAGATTTTCAAAAAAATCGTGCTGTGTGCCGTCTTGCTTTTGGGTTCTCTGGCCCACCTTGTTTTTTAAACCTTGATCTTCATTATTTGGTTCCTTGATCGTCTCTGTGAGGCCATGGTGGCGTGCATGCGTCCAGGGCTTGGCTTGGGGTGTTGGGGGCAATATCAAACTACAAACACGTACTCATAGTGTATGCACCATCAAAATGTTGAAAGGAACTCAGAAATGAGCATTTCTGGAGTTGAGAGTGTTCCTACTCAACATATGAACAACTTGCTTCGGTAATTCTTTGGGGGGGTCGCGTCCAGACATATCTTATACGGAGTGTATCTTGGTATAACATTGGTGATTTCCACTCAATCATGATTTGACATGGAATCGGTGGTCCTCAAAAATGCGTGTACTCAAGCCCAGATATGAGCGACCATTGGGTGCAGGGCATTTTGGGTCTGGTGAATTTCGAGTAATTTTATCAGTCATGCCCGATGATCCAGCTGACTTACCAGTAGTACCGCACAAGGCGGTGGCGGAAGAAAACCCATAGGAGAGGTTGGTTGTTGTGAATCACGGATGGCAGAGCGAATCCACTGATGGACCGAAAGGTGGTTGGAGTTGCGATTCTTGGAGTGGTTGCAATGGTTGCAGTGGTCACCTCACCCACAACTGCTGGATGTAGTGTGGTGTAGTGCAGTTGTAGTTGTAGTTGTAGTTGTAGTGTGGTGTAGTGGAGTTGTAGTTGTAATGTGCAATTCGTGTAGTGTAGATCTGCTTTGAACTTCTCTCTTCTTCTCTTCTCTTCTCTTCTCTTCTCTGACTCTTCCCACCTCTGCTTTTCCATCTGTCCATACTGTTGGAAATTTGACTTCTAAACTTCCTTCGGCCATTGAAACCAGTACCATCAGTAGAGTGGTTCTTCCGTTCTTCCAAAAAATGTTGTCATTCATTTCCGCCAGGAGGCTGAGTGACCGCTACCTTTTAAAGATATATGTATATATATATATATGTATATACGATATACTATGATTTTGATGTATATGCATATATGATATTTGATGTTCTGCTCCTTGCACGACGTGTCCTGCGCAAATTATTCGAACTAGTGGGTCAAGACAAAAACGTGCACCAACACATCATGGAATTGAATGCAATCAGTGCAAACTAAGATGCTTTTCAAAGATGATTTTGTGCAGTGTGTCTTGGGCCACAGTTGGAGTGTGGACATGCACTTTCTGCTTGTGCTTTTGACACCTTTTTGGATCAAGATTGCTTTCATACATAAGCACCCTGGACGTTACGTCTGTAGAGTCAAAGAGTCAAAACCACTTGGATTTTGGTTGTACAGCACAACAGCTTCAACATTGCTCTGAAGAATGCTGACATTGTGCCTCCATGTTTTCTCACTTGCTTTTAATGAACAGGAATCTTGACATAGTGCATCCGCGTGCAACGGTTTTTCTAGGCTGTTTGTTTTACCTCTTATTTGTACACTCCCCAACATCAGCTATCCTTCAATCCCATGGCTGCAAGGAGATGTGCAAAGGTTGCCAAACTGGTGAAGTTGGCCGCTGCGGAACCCGCGGCTTCTGGCCATGCAGGTCTTCAGCCGTCCGTCCAACGCTGCCTGGGGCGGCTGCAGCAGCTGCAGGGTGGCGATGTGGTGGATCTCACCCGAAGTCTTGCGAGGCTTCGCTGGAGGGATGGGGCTATCTGGAAGGAGATCGGCAGCACCGTGACGCAGAAAGTGGAGGAGATGAAGATGGCGGAACTGGTGCAGATTGCAGGTGCATTCTCTCAAGCCACCCAGCCTGATGCGGAGATGCTGAAGGCAATGATGGGAAGAGTCAAGGCAGATCCGAGTAGTTTGCGCTGTTGGTCTTCGGCAGACTTTATCTTCTCACTTCAGAGGGCAGGAGTAAAGCCGGACAAGCAGCTGCTGAAGGCTGCAGCTGATGCGATGGTGAAAGACTTGGATGCTCTCAAGAAGACGAAGACATTTTACATCATGGGATTTGTAGATGTGAGCCTCAAAGCTGGCTTCTTCCATCAAGGGATTCTCAGTTTGCTGTCGGAGGTCATGGTGGATCGCTTGGAGAGCCTCAGACCCCATGATTTGTCAAAGATAGCGCTGACTTGGGGGCAAACTAGTTGCAAAGATGATGCGTTGGTGAAGTCCTTGTGCACGGCAATTCGTAGCAATCTTCCATCCTTTCCAAAGAACAGGATTTCATACACGGTTCATGGCCTTAGCATGTTGGATTGCACAGACAAATCGCTACTGGTGGACTTGGTTTCTGCTTGGGCCACCACAGGGCCCGAGGAATCCATCGACGTAGTGCATATCATTTGTGGGTTGGCAAGATTGGGAGCTCTGGATGCTTCACTGTGCGATCAAATCGCGGCATGTAGTCTGCAGAGTGTGCCTCATTTGAATGCCAGGAGTATTGCCAGGATACTGTGGGCTTGTTCTCAGTCCGGATGTACACATGTGGAATTCCTTGAGTCACTTGGAAGGGCAGCAAGTCAAAAAACAGCAGAATTTTCGGCCATGGACTTTTGCGACATCTCTTATGCTGGTGCCAAGCTTTCACTTGCGCCGATTCTCGGAAGTTGCATCCCAGAGGCCATCGTGGAACGGGTGTCAGACTTCACGAGTACCCAATTGGCCTGCATGATGTACACAGTGTCGAGACTGTCGGACAATCCTGGTAAATACCTGGCGGTGCTTGAGCGTGCGATCTTGCCGCATGTTTCAACACTCACACCTCTGGACCTCAGAATGATATGCTTGGCTTGGGCAAAGGCACGTACTTCGGACCGTAATTTGATGGATGCACTCGCCTCGCAAGCAACTGAGGTGATTGATAGCTTGGACCCATCCACCATCAACAGCATTGCGTGGGCATACTCCGAAGTGAAGGTCACCAATTTGGACCTTTTCAAACTGTTGGGTGTGCGATGTGCGGCTACAGTCACTTCCTTTCCAAATCGCGAGCTTGCGTACATCGCATTTGCTTTTGTTCGTGCAGGGATCCACCATGAGCTACCTTTGACCAGCATCGCCAGCGAGGCCTTGAACCGTGTGGCGAAGATGCATCCCGTCCCTTGTGCACGCTTGGCACGTGCCTTCATCCAAGCTGACTTGGAGTCACCAGAAGCCATAGAGTTCTTGGAAAGCTTGGCTTCAATTGCTCGTGAGAATGTATGGACCGGTTTGATCCTCAGGCCACAGCTGGAGCGGACTGATTTCCAAAAACAGTGCGCCCAGACCGTTCAAGAATTCCTTCCATCCATCCTGGTGAATCAAAGTCACCAGATGGGTCCACTGCTCAGCCTGGTGCTGCCCCAATGCGATGGATCTCACCTGAACTTGGAGCTGGATCCCCTGGACCTACAGCTTTCCCGTCTGGACCGGGCTGTGCGCACTCGGCGCGATGAGTTCTTGGAGGACCTGGGTGTGCAGGTGTTGAGATTGAAGGTCAGGGACCAAGATGATTTGAGGTACCACCTGCTGCAGATCTTTGGACATCCCGCAGATCCCAGCGTCGATGACAGTCCTGCGGAGCCACAGGCCTTGGAGGTGGGGCCTCTGGATGAGGAGGCGGTGGCGATGTGTGGACATGTGTGGAGTGAGATGGAATCCGGAAGAGTGCAGCATGAAAGCTTGCTGTAAAGGATTTGACTTTTGAAAATCTACAAGAAGGAGTCCAGGGACCATTTGAGATGGCTTGGTATGTGCGCTTCTGGTCTGTACAAATTGAACAAAGCACATGTTTTTATATTTTTTCCATTTTGTTCCTGTTTCAAAGATTTCAACTCTGTGTCAGTGTGAAGTCATAATGGTCACTGGATCTCTACTAGTGACTAGTCAACAGGGCTGTCTTGGGGCTTGGGCTTTGTGGCCACCATCGGAAGGGGTGGGCTGTGGCGGGGTAGGCCATGGCTGAAAAAGATTTCCTTGGGCGCACAGCAGCTGACTTGAATGCTGACAGTTGCACTGCCGATGTTTGGAAGTCACTGTGATTTGCAGAGGCATAAAATTTAGACAAACTTACAAACCGGTGCCGCTTTTTGCATTCCACCATCCCGTTTTGGCATTTTGTTGCTTTACACGTATATATATATATATATCATACATACATACACTGCTATTCACCTAATTTATGCTCATTTGGGGCCTTACAATTTACAATCCTGATCAATCCCGAACTATCGTACCCAGCTGAAGATGTGGAAAATGCTCAATCACTGCGTAACAAAATCAGTAAACATAAATAAACTGTCAATATAATGTGAAAAGCTGGGTTTTGATTCTGATCTTCATTATTTCTTTCCTCCCTACCACAGCTTCACTCTGTGAGGCCATGGCGGAGTGCATGTGTGCAGGGCTTGGCCGGGGTGTTGGCGGCAGGATCAAACTACGAACACGTGCTCATATAGTGTAGACGCCATCAAAATTGAATGGAATTCAAATGAGCATTTCAAGACTTGAGAGTGTTCCTATATGAACAACTGGTTCTTCCAAGAACAGCTTTTCATTCATTTCCGACCGTTGTCAACAAAGTGCACCAACACATCATAGTGCAAACTAAAACGCTCTCCTAAGAAGACTTCATCGTGTCTTGGGCCACGGCTGGAGTGTGGACATGAACTTGTGCTTGTGCTTTTGAAACATTTCTTGGATCAAGATGGTTATGCTTGTAGAGCCAAAAAACCGACAAGATGGTTATGCCTGTAGAGCCAAAAGACCGACATGGTGCATCCACGTTTTCTCAACATTGCTGTCAATGAACATGAAGCTTGGCATGATCCATCCACCTGCAACATTTTTTTTCAGGCCATTTTGTTTCTTACTTACTCCCCCAACATCTCGGGCATCCTTCCATCTCATGGCCGCAGGGAGATGTGCGCAGGTGGCTAAACTGGTGAAGTCGGCCGCCGCGGCACCTGCGGCTTCTGGCCATGCAAGTCTTCAGCCTTCCGTCCAACGCTGCCTGGGGCGGCTGCCGCAGCTGCAGGGTAGCGACGTGGTGGATCTCACCCGGAGTCTGGCGAGGCTTCGGTGGAAGGATGAGGCTACCTGGAAGGACATCGGCAGCGCTGTGACGCAGAAAGTGGAGGAGTTGAAGGTCGCAGAACTGGTGAAGGTGGCGGGTTCCTTTTCTGTGGCCAGCCAGCCTAATCCGGAGATGCTGAAGGTGGTGGTGGGGAGGCTCAAGGCAGATCCTAGTAGTTTGCACTCCTGGTCGTGGGCAAATTTTATTCTCTCCCTTCAGAGGGCAGCAGTAAAGCCAGACAAGCAGCTGCTGAAGGCTGCAGCGGATGCGATTTTGAAAGACAAAGATTCTCTCAAGAGGCTTAAGACGCCTTACATCATGGGATTTGTCGATGCGAGCTTCTGTGCTGGTTTCTCCCATGATGCGATGTTCCGACTCCTGTCAGTCATCATGGTGGAGCATATGGAGAGACTAAGCCCCTATGAGCTGACGAAGGTAGCTCTGACTTGGGGGCGAGCAACTTGCAAAGATGATGTGCTTTTGAAGTCCCTGTGCCAAGCAATTCATCACAATCTTCCGTCCATTCCAAAGAACAGGATTTCATACACAATTCACAGCCTTAGCTTGCTGGATTGCAAAGACGAACGGCTCTTAGTGGACTTGGCATCTGCTTGGGCGACAACGGGTCCAGATGAATCCATCCAAGTGCTGCATGTCATCTTTGGATTGGCGAGGTTGCGGGCCCTCGATCCTGTGCTGTGTGATCGAATCGCGGCATGTAGTCTGCAGTTTGTGCCTAATTTCGAAGCAAGGGCCATTGCCACGATACTGTGGGCTTGTTCTCAGTCCGGATGCACACATGTGGAATTCCTTGAGTCACTCGGCGAGGCGGCTCGTCGGAAAGCTGCGGAATTTTCAGCTGCTGAGCTATGCAATGTCTCCTGTGCTGGTGCCACGCTTTCACTTGCGCCGATTCTTGAAAGTTGCATCCCAGCAGCTGTTGTGGAACGCGTGTCTGAGTTTGATGGTTTTTCTTTGCCAGTGACAATGCATGCAGTGACGAGGCTGTCAAACAATCCTGGCAAATACCTGCCTGTGCTTGAGCTTGCAGCCTTGCCGCTTGTTCCAACTCTGAGGCCTCCCGACCTTAAATACATTGCTATGGCTTGGGCAGAGGCAGATGCTTTCGACAGCAAGTTGATGGATGCAGTTGCCTCGCGGGCAATCCAGTTGATTGATAGCTTGGACCCGTCCACTGTAAATCACATGGTGAGGGCACTCTCGAAGTTGCGCATCGCCGATGTGCACTTGTTCAAAGCATTGGGCGTACAATGTGCGTCTACTGTCTCTTCCTTTCCTACACGTGAGCTTGGACACATCTCATTGGCATTTGTCAATGCAGGGATCCACCATGAGCTACCTTTGACCAGCATTGCCAGCGAGGCCTTGAACCGTGTGGCGAAGATGCATCCCGTCCCTGGCACGCGTTTGGCACGTGCCTTCATCCAAGCTGACTTGGAGTCACCAGAGGCCATAGAGTTCTTGGAAAGCCTGGCTTCAATTGCTCGTGAGAATGGATGGACCAGTTTGATCCCCAGGCCACAGCTGGAGCGGACTGATTTCCAAAAACAGTGCGCCCAGACCACTCAAGAATTCCTTCCATCCATCCTGGTGAATCAAAGTCACCAGATGGGTCCACTGCTCAGCCTGGTGCTGCCGCACTGCGATGGATCTCACCTGAACTTGGAGCTGGATCCCCTGGACCTCCAGCTTTCCCGGTTGGACCGGGCGGTGCGCACTCGGCGCGATCAGTTCTTGGAGGACCTGGGTGTGCAGGTGTTGAGATTGAAGGTCAGGGACCAGGATGATTTGAGGTACCACCTGCTGCAGATCTTTGGGCATCCCGCAGATCCTACCGTGTATGACAGTCCTGCAGAGCCGCCAGCATCGGAGGTGGGGCCTCTGGATGAGGGGGCGGTGGCGATGTGTGGACATGTGTGGAATGAGATGGAATCTGGAAGAGTGCAGCATGAAAGCTTGCTGTAAAGGATTTGACTTTTTGAAAATCCACAAGAAGGATTCCAGAGACCATTTGAGCGGCTGGCAGTGGCTGGCAGGAAACGGAACATGTTTGAACTTTGCCAATCAATGCAGCACGTGTTTTTCTTGTTTGATAGGTTTTTTATTAAATCAGTTATATAGTAATTGTGTGTTTCAGTGAAGTCAGGATGGTCACTGGATCCCTACTAGTGACTAGCCAACAGGGCTGTCTTGGGGCTTGGCTTTGTGACCACCATTGGAAGGGGTGGGCTGTGGCGGGGTAGGCCATGGCCGAAAAAGGTTGCCTGGCTGAGCAACCGCTGATTTGAATGCTGACAGTTGCACTGCTACTGTTTGGATGCTGATGTTTGGACGTCAGTGTGATCATGTATGGATGGGCAATCTTTTGGCGGTGTCCTGCATTTTTTTCAAGTCTTGTCATTGGCTTGGATGATCCCAAATATATCTAATTTAGGACCCATAGCGATCTGAAATAACCGAAATCGTCTTAAATAGTCCCATGAAACAATCAAAGTATGTGAAACGTTGGTTTGACCTTTACCTTCGTCGCTCATTCCTGCCTTGCCTCACGGTGTGAGGTCATGCTGCTACCATACAGGGCACGGTGCAGGGCTCGGCTGAGTGCTGGGGGGGCATGGTGGAACTTCCAGTGGAAAACCAGGTATATTGTGGAAGAAAGGTGCAAGGAAACGTCCTAAAGTCTGGGAAGCAGGCTGTCCATGTGAGTAGTGACACCCCGAAAAATCAGTCAGGATGATGTAGAAAGCCATTGACACAAAATTAGTCAAATTTAGTGTGTTGAGAATGGTCACCAATATTTCAAAGGCAACACCAGTTCTGATCTTTCTTGTGGATGCATGTGGGCAAGCCTCCAACCAAATGTAGATCCGTATTGCATTGCAATTCTGTAACTTCCATGCCAAGAAACTCAAGCCAGGGATTTTTACCGAACATCGAAAATGCTTGGAACTTAGAGATGGATTGGAATTAATTCAGCTTTGACCGTGCTTGAAATCCACAAACTGGAGCTTTGGTCATTGCACTGCCTGCCTGCGTTGGATTCTCCGTCCTGTCTGTCTGTTTTGCAGCTCGGAACCGCAAAGCACCACGCCGAGCTCGGCGGGCGGATCCGGTATGGGGCTGGGCCGCTAGAGAAGGTCAGGACGGCTGGGTTGGTGTAGGGATGGGACTCCATGGTGGCATTGGAAAATATTGGAATCACATGCCATTGGTTTAAATCAGGCAAAAGGAATGGGTTGTTTATTTTTGGCTCGGGTGACCATAGTCCATAGTATATTTGCACTGATTGAAAGTGGATTACTTCCTAGAATTTATTTCTTTAAAAGGAACCTAGAAACATCAAAAATTGAATTGGATCTCCATAGGTCCCAAAAGCACAGAACATAAACATTAAAAATATTTAAACATATGATCCCAAATCATGCACAAAATTCAAGAGATTTTGGTTTTAGAGCTACCTGCCCCCTCCATAGATTCTGCCCAGATAAAGCTGCCAGGGGTCGAGCCATGGACCGAAGTCGCAGTCGAAGTAGGAGAAGGCCAGCAGGGGGCATGAACCCAGCAAGCGCCCGGAGATTTTCACCCACGAAAATGGGCAGTAAAGCCACAAAACAATACAAAACATGGGAAAATCATGAATGGGTATATATGTAATCCACTAAAAAGACGCACTTCTTTAAACAAACAACACTTTTGGTGTTTATCATCAAGGATTTAGCATGAACCCAATCATACATACCCAGTGACTGTCTCAGGTTATCACTTATATTCATATGTATATATACATCTCATTTGACACAGGAAATCATAGGTGTAATGATATGAACCAAAGGATGCAAGACATATATCAGTCTTGGGTTCATCCCATTGGTCGAATACACACCGTGAATTCGCCAGTGGACCATCCACCGGCCTCTGCTCAGGGACAGCCGCCCGCGCGAGGAGCGCAAAGATAGCCGCAGGTGAACGGCTTCGGTCGTAACGGGTGAGAGGTTCTTAGGTTGAGATAGGATGTGAACTGACGTGAATTACCCAAGGATTTCGACAAAGCAATTTGAGTTTATTGAAATAATTCAAAATATATGGGCATTTATGGGCATACTGTTACTTAATTGATTTATAAGTGGTTTTGGATGATTTTGGAAGGTTTTGTTCAGGAGATCAGCCGTTGATTGGATCATTTGGAGTGTTCACCGTTGGTTTTCTACGCGTTCATAATTTCAGTACCAAGCAACGCGACCAGTCGCTTTAGCCCCAGTAAAGAAGGTAATAGTGGATGAGCCGCATGGTATTTGATGTTAAAACCACTGGAACCATGCAAACCAGTTTTCTGATTTAGATGGACCATCAAATGGAGGATGATATGGTCCGAATTTTTCAGAACTTCAATATGCACAACTGAAAACATGCTTGGCATGACCTGATGTTGTTCACCAACAGGAATAGGATGATCCATGTCAGTTAGCAGTATGTATTGATTTGTTTGGTTCATGTCTGTGCTTTGAGGTCAAAATCGCAGACTTCCAAACTGGTTACTGGAATGATAAGTTGTAACCAATTCCAAAAGGAACATATAGTTTCAATCCATTTCACCAAGGAAGATAAGAGAAATAATAGAGCACATGATAACTATTGGAATATGTTGAGGGTGTTGGGGATGCGCCCTACCCATCATTGACAGTCCAAAGGCGGGACGACCGCAGCCGAAGTGCGAGCCAGGCCGGCTGATGGGCATGACATACCACTGGACCAATGGTTTGACGCGCCTGCATTGTGAGGCTACACCGCTGTTCTGGCCCATGTTGGCCCAGGCCACATCCAGCAACTCATTGATGATAGAAAAAAATGTTCACCGGAACTGACATGGCACAGCATGACTCTGTCGCCACCTTTGGTGGCTTTGGTGGGACAATCGGAAACCATATCTTTGTTCGCCTTTGTGGCACCCTATCCTTTTTTCTCCATGTTGGGACGACCACAATCCCCGGTCAAAGATTTTGATTCCACCTTACATTTGTAACCGTCACAGACCATCACCTTGCAGATCTAGGTTTCACCAAAGGGCAAAATCGTGCAAAATCCAAACTGACTACAACTAAACAACCCATGAAATACACTCACACACTGATCTATTCTGTTTCCATTCAATTTTCTTGTGCCCTTGTGCCGCCCAACCATGGATGCCACCTCGCCCGGTGCCCCCGGCGGGGATGCGGACGCTGCGCCCGAGAGCCTGCGCTCCAAGCTGTGGGCGGCAGTGGGGCAGAGCAAGGCTATCCGAACCAAAGAGATGCAGGCGCCAAAGGGCAGGAATCATTTTTGAAAATCAGCAAATAATATCAAATAATATATATATATATATACCTAGATCCTCCTGATGCTCCTAATTTTGGTCGTTTCCAGAAAAGCAAAAATTATTGGCGTTTCAATCCAAAACTGCCGCTGTTTCCAAGAAATGCCGTTTGCATTCTGGCCCATGAGGAATGGTTCAAGAGAATTATAAATCAGATCCATGGAATGCAAACCATAGGTCCTTTAAAGTAGTTTGAAGTAAGATGATACCACCAAAAACTTATAGAGAACATGAAAGCTACCACAGCACCCGGTATCCCACCATTTGTCTGACCGCGCTGGTCTGACTGCGCCGGGTGCCCCAAGTGTCACTTGCATGGAGCCATGTGGTGACAAGGTTTGACTTTCAATTTGGACTGTTTCACTTTGAATCTGCGATACACGGCCTTAGACTTAATCAAGTAGAGCTCCAATGCCCTGGTAGATGCCCTTCTAGCTGAGACCCGCCTGATGAGTCTGCTCAATTTTCCAACTATGTCCTCATTCATTTCGCATCCCCAAAGTTGAGGATTGGGGACCCACTTGACGTTTGGATTTCGCAGTAAAATAAGTATGTCAAGCTTGGTATGGCAAAGCAGGTGAAACTTTGACGTCAAAGCGAAGCCTGTATATTGAAATTGGTTCATAGATAGAAATGCACAGGCATTGTAATGGCATAGAAAAGCATGAAGATGTCGGTACAGTGAGCCTGCACAGCGCTTGGTCAACCACAATTTGTGCGAGTAGTAGATCCTTTGGAAATCTCTCCCTGCTTGAGCTGCCCCAATCATTTGTTTCAGGATGGTTTTGTGATCCTCTTTCAAAGGGTCATTCAAAAAGCCAGTCAACATAGTATGCACCCATGCCAGCAAATGGGCACAATCACTCCCTTTACAATTCACCCAAGGGAATGTGAACCAGCTTGGGCTGTTGAAGAATGACACGGAAAAACTCCGCAGTGCAGGTGTGCGACCAGTTGCATGGCAAAACAATTTAAAATGGGAAAAAGCCCTGTTCAGCAGAATGTCCCGCTTATTGCTCTCACCTCGGACATCGAAGTAGTGGAGACGGGCCACAAGCAAAACGCAAGATGCCACAAATTGACGAAACACACCTTGCTTTGTGTTGTGAAAAATGTCTCGGCGAAAAAATCTCTCATGGGGGACTGCATCATCCCCATCATTTCCAAATTCGTGCTCAAATGGAATGTGGCAAAGTAAAGGCCTCAGAGTGTATGGTCGTTGCTGGTAACAAGTTGAAGCCCAGACTGGGTCATGGTTGAAATCCTCAAATGGAAGGTGGGCACTGCCTGCCATGCACTCGTGACACATCTCCTTGTTGATGGCAGTTTGGGCACTGAAACATCTCTCCAACCCTCCCACATGCTGGACCCATTTGAGATCGCCTTTGGCACCTGTGCACGCTGCAAACCACTGGCGACCATGAGCAGAAACCCCCGTAGTAAACAGGGCATTGAAGTCTCTCACAATCTCCACCATGATCTTATCTAGAAGTTGTTTTTCTTTTCTTGGCAATGCCGCCAAAACAAACTTCGTCAAGAATGAATGCTCCTTCAAATTTGTAGCCTGGAAGCAAGCATGATTCTTTGCAACAGTCGGATTTCCACGATTTTTTTTTCGGGTTGGCTCATCCAGTTCACAGGTGTCACAAGTCAAAGATGACTTGCCTTGAACATAGTTCGCCCAAGAATCAACTCCCAAACAGGTTTCCATCATCAGGATTGTTGTGTTGCCCTTTTTTAAGCCACGCCCTTCATCTCCATGGAAAGCGATGGCAAAAGTTGATGACAGCGACCTGTTAGGGTGGTTGTCATGGAAAAGCCGATGGGTTGGGTGTACATGCCTGTAGGCCTGCCAAAATGCTTCCAGAGAAGCTTGTCCGTCTTGAACAGTAGGGCATCCTCCCAACAGAAGCTCCGGTGTTTTGTTGATGAGGAATTCGACAAAGTGGGATGGTTTGATGTATCCAAACTTTACCATATCCCCATCTAGCTCGGTCTCCACATAAGACAGGGGCACTTTCCATGCTAACCCCCATTTTCGAATGAAAGAGTGGGCATCTCGACTGGCATTCTTTCGGCACCGTTCGTTGCCGAGACCTGCTGGTTGCACCTCATCTCTGGCCATTTTGCCAAAGTGATGGAGCGTGGCAGCTGGGGCCTCAGAAAGCCAGGGACAAAGTAGAACCCAAAATGGAATTGGGAAGAAGGGACGCCGCAAAATTCACATAATGTTAGTTGAGGGCCCCACCCCATCAGCCAAAACTTCAGCATAATTGAATGAAGTATCACCAGGCCCATCTGGTTGGATACCTAGCATGGCTTCCTGTTGTCGTGGTTGCATGGTTGTGCGGAAGCAAAGTAATTGCAGTTGAAATGAATCAGCTTCATTCAACAAATGTTCTTTTTCCCCTTTCAGCTTTGAGATTTGCGAAGCATGTACTCTGCGTAATTGGACCCGCTGCCACAACACAGTCTTCTCACATGAATGATGCAAACACTGGTCCCAAATGCTTTGTCAAGACTTTAGGCAGCAAAGGGTCATACCTAAAGAGCAATTGTTCCCCAAAAGCTTTGCAACCACATGCTGCACACGCTTGGTTTCAGCGTGAAGAGCAGGGGGGCATTGCAATTTACCCACGCCTCCTTTTAGGAGCAGGGGTGGCATCTTCCTCTTTGGCTCGCTTAGGAGCAACCTTGGCCTTCGCCTTTGCAGCGGACTTAGCCCTGGGGGCCCTTGCGGGCTTGGGCTTCGGCTCAGCAGCACCAACCTTCGGGGCAAATGGCCTAAGCGCCAACGTGTTGGGTGTCATTTTTGGGGGTTTTCACTGAGTATGGAATTTTATTTGGTTTTGTGTTTTCCATTCTGAAAAAAAAACAACATACTAAGTGGGCGGCTTTGCCCGAGGTTCAAGGGCAAGGGACGAGAATGCCCTGACACAAGATCACAGTGAGACACCCCAAAGACACAAACAGATAACTTGACCAAACAGTTGGTGACCAACAGCATGTTCATTTTTTCAGGCTGACTGTGACAGGGTCCCTAGCCTGGCAATAGCCTTGCCAGTGAGGTCTTTCAGCCGGTCTTCATCCCTCAGATTTCTGCGGCATGGTGTAGTATGAAAAAAACTTGTGGATAGTTTCAGATGCAATTATTTTTTGTTTTTTTAATCCAAGAAACCCCTTCTTGAAACCTTCCACCACGCCAGCTGAATAAGCTGCCGAAAGGTCATTGTGCACCTCCTCCAATGAGGTGACGCTGTCCTGAAGCGCAGTGCTCAACCTTGGCAACCAGGTGAGGGAACAACGGAATTCGGGATCCTATTGTGCTGGTAATGGTTCAGCTGATTCTAGTATAGTTAAACGTTGATGTGTTTGAATTGTACTGTGTTGCAGTCAAAACACCGTTTCTGAACTTCATTGAGGTCATCAAATGCCACCACAGAAAACTTTGCTTTGGATTTTGCCATCTGGGTGATTCGTTTGGCAATCGCAGTCCTTAGGGGAAATGATGGTAACTGTTGGGACACTGCTGGTGGGAAACATCATTGGTGCGAAAAAGAATTGGGGATTTAAATCAGGGAAACATCATTTGCTGGGAAAGAACATGGACAAAAAGACATGCCTATTTTTACCCAAAGGAAACATAAACTGTTGCAAGCATCAGATACTTTCCGATGAGGGTGCTAGGAAGGGCATCAGGGTCTGGCTCGGGTATTCCCAGTTTCTTCCTAAGAACCGCCGCCTCATCCTCCATAGTTTCATCATCTGACTTTGTGAGGTCCTCATCCGATTGGCCTCCAGCAATCAGTAGGACGTGCGATATGGGCACTAAAGATAACAGCATCTTTTTGATTCCAACCCTTACTTGAAGAAATCAGGTTTGGACATAATATAACTAACATATAATGTGTTTAGTAATTCATGGGTTCAAAACCTTCGCTATCAAGAACACCCCGAATATGATATACATGCATGTTATCGTCCTGATGTCATTGACTTCTTTTGAAGTAGTTGATGCATGGGCCCTTTGGTTTTGTTGGAATTATTTGCCCAATGATTCGCCTGATTTGTCATCACCGCCATCGCCACCAAAGTAGTTCTCACCATCCAGCATGCTCCCAATCCCCTTCTCTTGGATGCGAGCTCTCTTGCTGACTTCAGTACGCGATGCTTTCCTAGGAGTTAGGAGAAGAGGCACAAGGAGAGAGGCCAATCAACAAGGCCCGAAAAAATGAGAATGTCATTGACCACTGTTTCAGGAATGCTGATCTCAACCCGCAATCTTTTATCACATGTAGCTTTGCGCCTAGTTTTGAAACCCACTTTCATGTCAAAGAAGATGACCATTATATATAATACATCCATGAACGATGACAAGACAAGATACTTGTAGGTTCCTTTCACCGACGTTTCTGCGTAGTACAGGGTGATGCGCTGGTAGGTATCTCGCCTGAAAGATAGCACATGCAATTTTCCTTTTAGAATGTAAATTGCACCACAAACCGCACCATCACATTGCTTGAAGGTGAGAAAAGACAAAGGCATGCAAAGACCCTCAATCTCCCTGGCCCGGTGCCTGAGTAACTTCTTTGGCTGGGTGCGGCAGTGCTTCTTCACGGCTTCGATTCTTTGCCTAAGATGGGGAAACCAGCTTGTTGGGGAACCCTGCAAATGCACAAAGAAACCAATGTGCCAGTTGAGAAAGCTCCTCTATTTTTGTTGTTCCATGTGGGCAAACCCCCTTATCAGTCAAGGTGCTCCGACCATCCCCATGCTTCCATTGTGGCCTGGGAAACGAACTCCCCCTCAACTGTGAGTTCACATTGTGTCATCTCGGACTTGATGATTTCAACTTCGCAGATGAACGTTTCCTGGGCTATCCACGGGACCATAGTACAGGAAGTAAGTTTGTGAACCACATCATATAATTTTGATTTCTTATGGTTAGTTCGGGGATCCTCAATAGCTAAAACAAAAGTATACCAGATTTATGAAACATGTTTCTGGATCGTAACCGCAACGTTTAAAGATGTCTTCCAGAAGTCTCTTCCGGGGCCCCTTAGCCTTCCAATCATTCCAGATCTCCTCTGAAACCTTCTTGGAACCATCAGCACGGGGGGTGAAGATACGTTTGGTTCTACTGCGGATGGCTTCTGGTGAAAGATGATGTTCCCCAACCCGTGGCCTTTCGGCCAATGCATCCCGAATGTCAGGGATATCGCCGGTAATCTCCCCTTCAAAAGGTTCCGCTTGATATTCAGGGACCACTGCTTGTTCAGGGACCACCGGTTGATACTTCACAGTACCATCCGCAGAAGTCTCTGAACGAATTGACGGGGAATACATTGGACTATCCACACCTGGCTGACGGTCAGGCCACTCGCTGATCTTCTTTTTCTCACTGTCCGAGAGATGCTCATATGGCCCCATGTTGCCCCCACGTTGAGGTGGTTTTTCCAAACCGGAAGCAACAGAAGCACCTGGTGTCTTCAACTTTCCCACATCTGTAGCCCCAGAAGACTTGATTCCATTAATCCATTCCTCATCACTATCACCCCTATCGAAGCTTTCCCTGGACATGGGGGCTTTACCAGACCCAACTGGAGCCGCCAAGGCCGGAGGCAAAGCCCGCTGCGGGGTGGCAGCAGAGGCAACTGCAGCTGCTGATCGGGATGGCTTTGCTTCATGCTTGGCTAGTAGACCTTCAAGCGCCTGGGTATTGCAGGGGAAAATTATGTCACCCAACCATGAAGGATAATATGTTCTTTGACATCCTCTATGTCGAATCAACTACATACCAATGATGGATGGCCATTCTTTTAAATAAACTTGAATAATTGTTTACAAACCTGGTGTTGGGACATCAAATGCCCTTCATCTTTTGATATGTTGTGTTGGTTAGGGAACCCTTTAACCACCATGATTTTTGCACAGCATAAAGTACGAAACACATATTATAATAAAGGCAGGGCACTGCCAACTGAGCTTTCATTTCCTCTTCATTAAGGGACTCTGACCGCAACTTGTCATAATGAGCTGTCACCAACTCATTGGCAGCCATGAGGGACGAGCAGGACCACGATTGACTCAACAGGGGCACCATGAGGTAGCAATTTCCCAGCTGTCACGGCTACCGGAAGAGTTTGTTATTTCTCCACCTCCATTGAGCTATACTGTCACATTCTCAAGTGATGCTGGCTGAATCTTTTTTTGGGGGGGAAATCAACGATCATTTTGGGTTTCAAAGAAGCCCCAATTGCGAGCTGATATAACATGTTGGATGCAGGATGAAACCCCACAAATACTATGTGAACCCCACGTCAGAAATTGTAGAATATATCTAGGTCGAGGGTTGTCATTTTCCCCAATCGCAGAACCATGGTTGTTTCCAAATTAAATAGCAACCCAGTGCCGATGGAACACAAGGCTCGCTGTCACACGAATTTCACCTAAATATGGAAAGGGGCACCTGGGCAAGGGCTGTTGGTCAGAAATGGCATTATCAAAAATAGTTGAAAATGACCCGGTCGGGGAAAAGCGCCGTTTGGCTGGGTAAAAGCGCCGTTTGGCCGGGTAAAAGCGCCGCTACAAAAACACTACTTTTTGTAAAACATCTTTAGAAACCATGTTCTTCCCCACCAGCCCTTTAAATTGCCATTTGGTGCTCTACTGTGTCTGGCCACTCACCTATGTCTTTGGGGAAGCTAGCACGAAGCTCTTCCGGCAACACCAGCTGCTTGCATCCCCGGAGGTACTGGATTGTGGTTCCCAAGTCCGCTTGAGACCACGAGGAGCATGGGGTGGCCATGATCATCTGGTGCAGCGGCATGTCTTCGTCCACCTTGGGAATTGGGGCAAGGGATTCTGACTAATTTGCTATTATAAACTGATAATGCTGATGTAATATATGAACCAGTCCTCAATGTAATTATTAAAAAGATGCGCTACTAGTCCTCACCAACTTCCAGGTTGCAAACAAACAGATTACATAAGCAAAGGAACAGATAAATTGAATTGGCTGGGCTCCTTCTGCATCGCTTTAGCAGCTTCAATGATTCGTCCAGCAAAGGCAGCAGGGTACGACCTGACTTAGGCTAAGCTATTGGTAAGCAAAACTTTCAAGATGTTTTATTTTTAATGGTAGATGCCATTTCACAAGAATAGATTTGAACAGTGAAACCATGGCAAAACATAATGTAGAGACTGAACATAAACCCAGGGACTGTGTGCCCTTGAGCGAGGATGTTCCTTGAAATCTCTTTTTCCCAGATCGGTCTCGGTATTGCTTAGTTGTTTTCACACTGGAAGGGTTCTGGGATCGCACAAGCCTCCCAGTCCAAAGTTTGAAGATGGCCTTACCATTACTCACCAAGAGTGTACGTTTTGGTGAGCTCCCACCCCACAACCTCATCCACATCGCCACTTTAAACACCTGGGATGTCAAGAGGATAGCGGTTTCCCCCATTGCAATGAGGCGTGGTAAGTATGGTCATCTAAATCGAAATTCGAATATTGGAAAGGGGTTCCCACCAAATATTATTAATTGTTTTCCATGTGTAAGATAGTAAGAAATCAACCCCCCATCAAACCAAAACAAATATGTTGCAAAAAAGAATCCCAGCATTGTTATTCCTGTTATTGGGTTGGGGACCCATGATCTTTAAACCTTTTCCGGGGTTGTGTATCTTCGGGGTTTGGCTTGGTTCCCAAGTCCCCAAACCAGCCATGATTAACTTACTTAGTCCAAATGTCGTTGAATCCAGCTCGCTTCAGAAGCTTGAATGACTCTTGAACATAGAGATAGTGAAAGAAGAGTGAAGAACCTGGTTGTTCAATTGTAAAGCGGCCATCCATGCAGCCAATGAGAAGAAGCAAGAGCCCCAGCCTGGTAGGGATGACAGCCTAAAATTGTAACTCTTAAAGTCGAGGATTCTTAATCAACAGGAATGTTCACCGATATCCCATACACCATTTCATAAATCCCATAAGGAAATATATTATTATTACAATATTCAGCGATACCCCATTTAATAATATTTAAACCGCATGCTACAAACATTGATCTTTCTTGCATTGGGACCCACATACGAGATACTTTTGAAACTTCTTCTGGGTATTTACTGTCAGTGGGCACAAAATAAAAACCATTAATCCATGTACATGTGACACCCCTGTCCTAGCTGCTAACTTGTTGCTTTTCCTGTTCTGCAACAAAGTTGGGTCACCTCCTTGCCAAACAATCGTCCTCCGGCTGGTGCCGGCATTAATGGCCACCCATGTCGAACAGGGTGGTGCCAAAACCACCACCACCTTGCCGAAAGCCGCCTGCATCAGGAGCAGCACTGCCAACCTCAGAAAGGACAGCATGGCTGAGCGTTCAGGTGTGGGCACGTCGTGTTGGAATAAAAAGGCTGTTTTTAGGCAAGATCCCCAAATCCAACAAAAATAACGTTTCTTAAATGATTCAAGGGGCGAAAACCCACATTCCCCATTGAAATCCATACAGCTGCGTTTGGGGAAGCGCCGGCTCTTCTTTCCATTTTCATTGGGGTTTGGGTTTGCAGATCCCAGAAGGAGTTCGTAAGAAGCACATGCAATCCCTGCTTTGGCTGCCAATCCAGAAATTCTCCCAGTGCCACTAAAGTATTCCACCATCTCCCACGGCTCCGAAAGTGTCTGCAGTGGCCCGGCCACAAGGCAAGCACATAGAGCCACCATCAAAATAAAATCCTTTGCCGAAAAGGCAAAAGGCAAAGGGCGGAATGAATGTGAATGCAGTAAGTTCCTTACAAGAGTTCACAACATCAACATGAAGGAGATCATACATGATTGAAAATTGAAACTACCTGCAAAGCTAAGGGGCTTTTGGTGCGCCAATACAACATAGGCGTCTCAACACCAAGGCAATTTCATGAGGCAGCATGACCAGGGTGCTATCTATTGTGGCCACCGGCTTTGATATTTGGAAAAGGCTTCGTATTGAACACAAGCTCATGTCCAAAGATTTGTTCCAACACACCAAGGTCATAACCCAACACCCCCACAAACTAGCAGGAGAGACCTGCACCTGGGAAGAAGCCACGGCTCGCCAAAAATGCCGGCCCGCGTCTCAGCATGGGCTTCAGTACCTGGAGAACACCGCCCATCAAAGAGTGGTATTGTAAACATGTGGGGAATTGCAAGTGGAGTTGGGATGCACATTTTTTCCCCTGAAGGCTGCATGTCGAGATGTTTTGATTTGCTAGCCATGTTCTCACAGCTAGGCCAGGCTTCTCCAGAAAGCTTTCGCAGCAGTGTCAAAACGGAACTGCCTTTGCCATACTAGTCTTTTGTTTTCCAATGGCTTGCTATAACCCATGCCAACATGATAGGAATATATGGATTGGTCAGTTAAGTCTTGAGAGCACAGAGGCAGCACCTACCATCCAGACATCTAAGCTGCAATCCACTCAAAATTAAGATTGGCATCGGGATAGGCTGCTGGGCCCATCGACGCTATCCCCAAAATAACCACTAGCACGTGAGCTGCGGCTGTTGACAGTGCTACTCTCAGGCCTGATTCAACTTGTTGCCTCAGGATGGGGAAAGCATGGTGGGATTTTTTTTTTTGACCTGCTAACTTGGGGAAAAAGGGTGAACACTTTCATACAATTCTTTTGGACAGGATACGGACATCATCCCGCTCCAAGAAATTGGCAACCTGGGCCCCTGCCAGCACCATGTAGTGATCATAGCTAGGCATCTCACCATCACCCTTCAAGATCGGGAAGGCGAAGTTCCACCACTTCAACTGTAGGGATAGGATTGGGGATTGGCATGAGACTTGGTCAATGGATGGGAGGTCTTGTAAGCAAGGCTTATACTTCACCAATAGCACCAGAAACAACCCCAGAAACAACTAGATACTGTAGGTATTTCTACATGTTGTAGTGTAAACTGTAAACCATAAACATTGACCCCTAGAGCCTCCAGAGTGGATGCCTTCTCAGAAATGAGCGGGAAGATGGACCGATAGAGCACAAACTTCAAACAATCGAACCTCATCTTTGCAGGAGGGTCCTTTGCTGGGCAGGCCCTTCCAGCAAACGTCTTCTTTGCCCCATCCTCACCCTTGGAACCTGCCCCATCCTCACCCTTGGAACCTGCCCCACCCTCACCCTTGGAACCTGCAGAGGCTGCGCTGCCATCCTCTTCCTTGCCACCCTTGCCCACCCCCCTTCCCTGTCTTCTTTCCTTTTCCCACCTTGCCTTCCGGCGAAGCCTTAGCCTTAGCCTGGTTTTTTTTGACCTTGCTCTTTCCCTTTCCTTTCGGGGACTTGGTCTTGGCGTTGGCCTTGGGCCGGCCAGCAGGCTTTTTGCGGGGAGTGGGAGGGTCTGCATGAGTGGAGGTGGCCTCACCCTCACAACTGCTGTCTGCAACTTCCTCAAAGGCACCCTCCAAGTTTGTCGGAGTGCAATCACTGCCACCCTCATCGTCCTCAACAGAACTTGGTTGGACAGGTTGTGCCATGTCTGGTGCACTATCCTTGGGTTTCTTGGTTGCCTTGTGATCCTTCTTTGAAGCAGCAGGGCGCTTCAGTGCACATGTCTTTGCCTTTGCCTTCGGTTTCTTTGGGGCCTGGGTAAGTCCATCCATCTTAGAAACTTGCCCCTTTGCTTGTTTGAATGCTTGCTGCTGTTCTCGGGTCACAAGTGGAAACTGGTCAGCATCGTCCTTGCCTGGCTGATGGTCACAGGAAGGAGCAATCCCACCCCTTTTGGATTCCACACCTTTCTCACACCCTTCAACCATACCTGGATCCTCCTTGCTTCCCTCCTGCAAATCACCTCCCTTCTCTCCATGTCCCTTCTCCGGGGTAGTGTCTGGCTGCGTGGCGGGAATTTCTGGGCTCTCAAGTAGTGTGTCATCACAAACACCACCCGGGGAAGCTTGAATGGGACCCTCAAAACTGACAGTCTCAATTGGTTCAGACTCCTCATTGAACTGCCCTTCCCCGTTCGCAGCATCCACCAAAGTTTGTACCCAATCTTCCTCGAACATCGGGAGAGTTTCCATGGCATCAATGCCTCACATTGAGAATTGGTAAAGTGAGACATGGTTGCATTGTAATTCCCTATTTTACCCCATGTTTAAACCCTTGTAAAAACAAACAAGTCACCCATAAAACAAATAACATGTTCCCCAATGTTGACCGCCCAGCCGCTCTGGCTGGGTGGCAGTGCACACGGCGGAATCTCAGGCTTCGCTTCGGCTGCAGCCTTCGCTTCGCTCTTGTCCAGCGAGTCTTTGCTCTTGGCAAGGCACATCCTCGGAGATTGAAATGGGAGCCAGTGGAAAATTGAATTTAAAGATTCTATTGAGGAGGTCCCCCCTTAAAAGAAATAATATGGATATTTAGGGCAAAATTCCTCAACGCATCAATTCTTGCTTGGATAGCTTCCTTGCTTTCCCCATCCAAACTCGTCGGATTCAGTCTAGTTGGGGGTAAGGGCAAATTCTGTGGAGTCACTCTGGCAGGAACCGGGGGAGGGGGCATAATTGCCTTTGGTGGTGGTGGGAGGACTGGCACCACCGGAGTAAGTGCCTTTGGAGCCGGCGGGGGAGAAGCTGGAGCAGCCACCTCGGCCACAGGCTCGACCACTTCCACGCCACCATGGCGATCATCGACATCATCATTGTCATCATCATCGCTGCCTACACCATCAGGCTGGGAACCGGCTTGCTCACCCCAATAGCTATGGAGGATGGCATAGAACTGGTCCAGGGATGGATCCTTGGAATGGAAGAACCACAAATTCGGTGGGGGAACTTTACGGAATAAAATGAGGGAACCAATTTTGTGTGAAAAAACCTTTGGTGTGATCCCCCAAATCCCGAGACATAAGACATCCCAAGGTTTTAAAAATTTGTTTGTAAAATAAATAGTGCTACCGCTACTGTATGATTAGGCACTCGGTTGGCCGTCCCGGTCATGAAACGCCTGATCCCATGATTGAAAAGGATCTTCAACCCATAGGCATCAAGATGAACAAGACGATCATCTTTGGGTAAGCCCAAACTCTCCCGCAGCAGGGTGACCTGCACAAGGTCATCTAATTTGTGCAAAACGGAGGAAGAAGGAACTATGGGTTATGAGGTGTTTTACATTTGTTGGGTGTTTACGTGTACATAAGCAAAAAAAATATCGAAGCTAGGGGACTGCTGTTACCAATCACTCCCACCTCCTCCCTGAACGGCTGGATTTTTGCGGCTGTCACCATTGTGGGGAACTGGGCGCACCACCACTCAGCCGTCACCTCTAAGGGACATACGTTGAGGGCCATGGCTTTGCAACTTTTCACACCAATAGCATTATCATTGGCCCATCGGGTCAAGTATTTCCGGGAATCAGTCAGCATCCGGTTTCGGACAGACTGTTGTGCTTCTAACCTCTGGGCTAGACACCCGACCTGCCCTGGGAGCAGATTTGCTGCAGCCATTTGACTGCCAGCAATCCGGTAAACCTTAGAAAGCAAAAATAGCTCGGGCCAATGCCAGCTGTTAGGGTAAACTTCCCCCTACTTCCCATTCCCCATTTCAAGTTCAAAGATCATTTGTCATGCCATGTCTTGAGGCAACCCCAAAAAAATGAGGTAAAATCGATCCAGTCAAATTGACAACCTCACTCACCAAGCTGACCGGGCGAAACACCCAGCTGGCGCACTTGCAGGCCAAATGGTCGATGGGGTCATGGCTGAGATGCGCCGAGAAAACCCAGCTGCAAATGTAATGGAGCCATGTCAAGTGGTCATGATACCCAATGATGTGTTTTTTTAAACAGATAAAGTACTTCACAATACTTCACCCGTCTAGTTGAGGCCATGTGGCCACTGTGGTTTCAACAGTTCTGTTCTTTCATAACTAGGGATGATGATGCCATGTGGCTCCAGCGTAAAGCGATGGCTCCTAAGAGAGCAACCTGAAGCGGGCAGGATAAAATTGACCTGATGCATCCAAGGGGTGAGAAAATGTGAAGTATGGTTGAATAATGTGAAATACCCAAAAGTGCTCTCAAATCCAAAAAGCGCCGTTGTTTGGGAAAAGCAGTTTTCCCTGAAACAACTAAAATTTCGAAGGTCTGCGAGGTTGCAGGTATATGAGTATACAGTAAATATACATGTCAATACGATTCAACAGGGTCAATCAATTTTAAAGGGTTGTAAACGAGGGATTTTCAAATGCCATGTCTCGATACTTGTATGTGGGATGGGCCCAATTTATGACCTGCAAAGTATGGGGAACATGATGTTCTAAACCATGAGATGGAATGGGGGTCCAAATCTTGAGACCACAACAAATGAGGATGTGAGGATGGGCATGGACGGGCCCAAACCTAGGGTAACAATGGGTAACATTTTTTGGGAAGCAACATTCATTTGACAGCTATTTCGATGTTTACCACGGAACACGGGTTTTGATCCGTAGAAAAGAGTTTGGGGGAGGTTGCGAGTATAGACAGTATAAAATCTTCATTTGTCATCAACATGATGTAATTTCGCAGATGCAACATTGAGAAAACAACACGTAACCCAACTTGTCCAGAGAAAGTAAGCCCTTTGCAGTAGATACTTCCTAATATTTTGTTTTCCGCATTTGCCATGCATCATATTGCTGGAAGTTATTTCAAGCAGCCCCCACCGTTCTTTCCAGGTGTTCCAATCACCCACTGGCGCCCCAACGCTTCAGGAGTCCTGTGCCTTCTACGACTGCGTTCGCAAGGATGCTCGGAAACTTCGGCCCGAAGTGGCAGCTCGGCTTGGGGGTCCTGGAGGCAGCAAGGGGTGTCCGGGAAATGACAAGAAGAGGCAGTGATGTGATGGCTGTTGTTTGGGGATTCCACTACCTATAAATTGGGGAAATCTTAGGTAAGTAGTTTCCAAACATTGAAAGTACTGCTTAATAAAACCAAATGTTGTTGTTGTTGGACCACACTATACATATCCAAATCAAAGTCGACATTCTTGTCAAGAATATAAGCGGCATGTTTCCAGTCAAATCGTCCCCCAGATGTTAATTGAGCACGCCAGTTTTTTTTGCTGATACTCCATCCAATCCCAGCCCATTTTTCCTGGGGATTTTGGCTATGATTCAAAACCCTGGTAGTTGTGGATGTTCATCCCCCCAATTCATAATTATGGATTATATCATATTATATCCCCATATTTGGTGGTTAAACATGCTTAACCCCCCAAAGTTGGATGATTAAATACCACATTTCCATGGTGAATCCCCATTATTCATCCCCACAATGCCACCATTTTTCCTGGTTAGATCTCCATTTTTGTAGCTTTTTGTTGGTTGAGACCTGCCCATCCCCCCGTCCCCCCGTCCCATCCCCCAGGTGGTGGACGTCTGCGGCGGCCACGGCGCTCTGGCGCTGCTCTTCCTGGCGCACGGCCAGGCGCAGCAGGCGACGATCATCGACCCGCAGCGGCCGGCGAGCCACGCCACGCTGCGTCGCTTGGGAAGGGGATGGAGGGGTTGGGATGGGATGATGTTGATTAACATACTTTGATTATTCCATTGTTTTTCATTGTTTTTCTATGTTTGATCATATTTTATCATAAACCAGCCTATCGTAGTATGTCCCTAAGTCCCACGAAAATGAAGCAAGTGCTATCAAGTGCT